CCGCAGGCCAGTAATGTCCATGGCCAGTTGCGGGGGTGACTGCAGCAGGGCGACTACGGCAGGAGTCCCTTCAGAGACGGAGCCCACAAATGCCAGGACTGGGGCGCAGAGTGCTGCACGCCACGAGGAGCCTGAAGGCAGCCAGAGCTCAGTTCTCGGGCCGGATGGGCTGCAGTTCAGGGAAGGCTGCAGTTCCTTGCACCCCGTCTCCAGGCACCAGGCAGAGACAGGTGACAGAGAGATCGGAGCCTGGTTCCACGGCCTGGCTCCATCACTGTATCTGGTGCACCTTTCTTCCCTGGAGATAGTTCTTGCAAAAAGGAGAGGATCCCACACAGACCAAAAACGCCGGTGTCAGGGCTTTTACCAAGTACCTGCAGGGGACACAAGAGGGCGTTAGCTGATTATAATCTTAGTCATCGGCGGCCTCCAAGGTTCCCCATTCAAGGTGCACCTCTGCATGCGAGTCAACGTTGAAATGCAGGGGAGCACATTAATTTGCTTGGTTGTTTATAGAACTGGCAAATTAGCACAACCTTCCTCCGTACAACCTGGCCAGAACCTTTAGGCCAGTCCTCTAGCAACATGCATGACTGCGGCCGAACATGAGAGAAAACTACAAACCAGGTTTTCTTTCATTCACCCAACATTCAGTGAGTGCCCAGGGTGAGGCAGACCCTGTGTTGAAAACACAGATTAAAAAACAAATAGAAACCATCGTCCTTGCTTGCAAGGCCAGTGCTGGGGGAAGGGAGATAAGGAACCAATTAACAGCTGCAAGGCGCAACCGTAGACACTGTCTGTGAACTAGGAGGTACAGTTAGCCCAGAGAGGTGTGATTCCTTCCACAGAGAATGAATCAGGAAAGGCTTCCTGGAAGATGCTGCTCCTGAACCTGACTTTCATCTGGGAAGGGGTGGTGATGGGGGTGGGGGACAAAAGTCAGGAGGTGCAGGAACTAGGGCATTCACTAGCTCTGGGACACAAAGCAACAGGAGTGAGGCAGCTAGAAAAGTGGGCAGGGCCTTGGCCTCCCGGGTCTAGGGGAGTTAGCATTACCCAGAGAGTCTGGTTCTGGAGGCGGCTGTTTCTCAGCTCCACCTCATGCAGGGTCTGGAGCTGCCACAGACCCGTCCTGGGAGGCCTCTAGCTTATGCTCATGATTTAAAGAGTAATCACTTCAAACAGCATTTACATTTTCTGGGAAGCATGAACCTGAGATTCCGTCTTCAGTTTTTTAGGAATGAAGTAGGATGGACCTCAGGCTTAAAATTAAAGAAGCTCATGATTTAAAGAGTAATCACTTCAAACAGCATTTACATTTTCTGGGAAGCATGAACCTGAGATTCCATCTTCAGTTTTTAGGAATGAAGTAGGATGGACCTCAGGTATTAAAGAATTCCGGGTAATCTGCTAAGAGCAGAGAACACGAGCAGCAGACAGTGTCCATACACTAGGAAAAGGCAGATCTGGGACCAAGAAACACCACCACCAGGAGCAGGAACGATCAGATCTGGAGACATCTTACTTCATGCCGCTGCTTGTGTCACAGTGGAGGTCTCGAGACAGCGGGCAGCCCTCCTTTGCCTGTTCCCCTCCAGCCTGCCTCCCGGACCTCTCAACGACCCGTCCCCTCCCGCCTCAGGTCTCGCCATCAAACAGTACACCTCAAATCTGTACCATCCTCTGCACACTTCACCTCGACCCACGCCCGCTGGGACTCCAGACGCCTTTAGGGATCAAGTCCATGCTCCATAGCAGGGCTTTGAGGCCATCGTGCATGGCCCGGCCTGGTTTTCCAGTCTCATTTCCCACCACACTGGCCACCCTCTTTCTCCTAATACTGTGGGTTCTTTTAGTCTAAGTGCAAAAGTATCTGCTTTGCTCTGCTCAAAGCTTAGGGGAGAGCAGTCGGGGTCAACGTGTAAATCCACTGTGGCATTCCCTTTTAGTCCAGGGCACCTCACAGACGCGGAGACGCCCGGCTGCCATGGTGCTCGCAGAGGTGCCCTCACTGAGCCCACTACCCTTTACACAGGCCTCATGACCACTGCTCTATCACTAGCCCCCAAAGGCCTGAGAAACAGGGAGACAAGAGAGGACGAGGCAGCCCCAGAGAGGCAGCAGGTGCATAGAGCCGCACAGCCAGTAAGTGGTGGCGTGCCTGACTTCAGAGCTAATGTGCTCCCCAAATGACAGAAGCTGGGGACACAGGCACAAGTAAGGAAAGGAGGGCCACCCCGCTACCTCCAGGAACCAGTACAAGCCAGGCAGCTTGTCCCGTCTCAGGTCAGCCACTCACACCCCTAGTCTGGAGACAGCATGGCTGAGATGCAATGGACTGTCGTCACCTCGCATGTGACCCATCCGACCAGTAGTCCAGTCTAAGGGGCCAGGACAGACCCCACAGCTGCCAGCTCACACAGCTTCGTGCCCAGGGCACGAGGGAGGGTCGATTGCCCAGGTGATTGATCAGTGGTGGACTGAGAACCTGGCTGTACTCCAAGGATGAGCCCAGGCACTGCCCCTGGTCTACCCTGAGGGTCACTCACCTGGGGTGTTGCAGAACCTGCAAGAGCGTGCTCTTGAGAGGCACCTTGTACAGTTCTTCCCTGTCCTCATCCTCAAAGTAGACCTGCAACATTAACAGAGAGCAAGAGTCAGACACAGACCGAGCACTCTGGAGCCACTAGGAAGGTTGAGGCCACCCAGAGAAAGTTCAAAAGATGACAGCTGTTCCGTGCTGGAAGCCTCCTCGACATGGCTGTGGGTGGGGCTTTGCATTCGTTCCTCCTCATGGCGCTGTAGGAGAGGTCATTATCGGCTCCACCTTCTAGACAGAATGGAGGCTCAGAGACGGGAAGTAACTCGCCAGTGTGGCCCAGCTAGAAAACAGGTGCCGAGACTCAGCCCCATGGAGCCCTCCCTTCCTGAACAATTCGGTCCTAAGGTCATCAGGTGTGGGGGAGAAAGCTACGGTGACCCAGAGCAGGGGGAGACCCAGACAGGGTGGGGTGCACAGGAGGGCTGCCAGGGAGGGGTGTCAGGGCATCCATGCTGGGGGCTGCCTGTATGATGGTTGGACAGGAAGGGCTGGCGAAAGAGGGTGTCCATGCACGGGGACAGCTGACAGGGGTGTCAGGCCCAACCGGGATGAGGGGCTGAACACTTATGGCAGGGTGACCGGTCATGGGGAGTCAGAGGCCAAGCAGGCTGAGGAGCAGCAGTACAGGGCCTCAGGGTTTGCACAGGCACTCAGACTGAGGCAAAGCCCAGCAGGGGAATCAGGAGTTCAAGTAGGATGAGGAAGGCTCCACATGGGAGAGGGAGGCGGGCCTATGACAACAGCAGGGGGTTGATCAAATGAACCAACACACGCATCGTACAGAGAGCTTGCCTTCTAAATATCATTCTTCCACAAAAAGCAGCAGGGCTCCTTAGGAAAAAAGTAGCTGATCCAGAACTGGAGGAAGGCAAGTACAATTTCGATCTGAAATGCCTTGTGCCAAAAAAACAAGTGCTTAAAAAATGGAGGCAGAGGGACCAGCAGTTAGTGTAATGGCTATGTTGCTGGACTTCCATGTAGTCAACTGTGGTTCGAGTCCTGGACCCAGTGGCTTAAACTCACGCCGGGCGCATGTGTGTGCGTGCCCAAGATCCTGAGAGGAGAATGGAGGAGAAGGGATTGTGGCGTGGCCATCCCCCCTGGGGGATGATTTCTCACTTTCTATCTCTCTGCCTTTCTGGCAAGCACATGACCCTCAAAAAAAAAAAAAAAAGAGGCAGAGCCAGCCCCATAGCCTAGTGATTAAAGGAGCCAAATTCCACATGGACAACTGAGGTTCAAATCCCAGCCCCAGTGGCTTAAAAAATGCACGAGGCACATTTGTATGTGTTCCTAGAATCCCAACCGGATGGAGAAACAGAGAAGGGACTGTGGTGTGACCATGCCCCATTGGGAGATGCATCCCCCCCGCCCCCCCCCGGGTAGTGAGCACCTACAACCTCTGGCAATTTTTTTAAAATGGAGACAAGTCAAAAGGACACAGAAAGAAAAGTTAAGTGAGTCCCATTGGCTAAATCTGAGATCATTTGAACGTGAAGTGAACAACTAGTAACCAATCACAACTCACTGAATGAAATAGGAAACCTAAGGGACCAGTAGACAGCGTATGGTTACACTGCTGGACTCCCACGTAGTTGACTGCAGTTCCAGTGCTGGACCCAGTGACCTGAAACTCATGCCAGGTGTATGTGGGTGTAGTTGACTGCAGTTCCAGTGCTGGACCCAGCGACCTGAAACTCATGCCAGGCGTATGTGGGTGTATGCCCAAAATCCCAAGGGGAGAATGGAGAAGAAAGGATTGTGTCATGGCGTCACCCCTGGGGGGCAGGGGTGATTTCTTGCTTTCTGTCTCTTTTCATCTTTCTAGTGACCGCATACACCCTACAGCAAAAATCTCTCAAAATAAACACACACAGGAAACTTAAATCTGCTCATATAAGAAACAAATATGTTGAAAGTTTGATGAGCAAAAGGATCACATATCCTTCCTATCAAGTGCTTAGCAATTATAAAGAGAAAAAGAGTAACTGTGTATTAGAGAAGCGTGGCAGACCCCACCTCGGTCAGGTGACCGCAGCGAACACAGTCAGGGCTGGCCACGTGGGAGTCACGTGCCACCTGACAGGATGCAGTGAGACTAGAGCACCGCTGCTGGGACAGTCAGGCAAATACGCACACCCCAAATCAGTCACCAGGAGGCATGGAAAAACGCACCCTGGCCAACGTCTGTAATGGTCTCTGATGGTCAAAGTGGTAAGATCAAGAAAGGAGGGGCCGGCCAGAAGCATGGAGGTTAAGGCGGCGGATCCCACATGGCTGACTGCAAGTTTAAGTCCCAGACTCAGTGGTTTGAAAAACACACCAGGCACGTGTGCGTGCATGCCCAAATCCTGGGAGGGGAAACAGAAGGGGTTGCAGCATAGCCGTCCTCTCCTGGGGGAGGGGCTTTCTTTCTCTCTCTCTCTCTCTCCTCTCTCTCTCTCCCCAGCAAGCACACAAATCTTATAGCAAAAAAGAGAGAGGAAAAGAGACAGGAAGGGAAGGAGGGAAGGAGAGAAGGAGGGAGGGAGGGAAGGAGGACGAACAAAGGAACTCTTCCACACAAAGGAGACTAAAAGGACCGAATCCCTAAACAGTGTGTGCTGCTGAACAGGACCCTTTGCTATAAAGTAGGTGTGCAACCTGACTGGGGTCTGATGACTGGATGGTAGCAGTGTATCAGTTAATTTCCTGACTCTCATGGCTACATTGGAATTATAAAGGAAAATCCTTGTTTGTAGGAAATACACACTGAAGTTCTCTGGGGCAACAGGATATCCCATAGAGGAACAAGATAAAACTCTTACCTCCAAATGATCAGGGCAGTATTTCCGCTCTAAGTCCCAAGAGGGCGTTTCACCAAACATCACCATTAGATGATCGATGAGCCTGAGGATGAACATGTCCTTTCTGAGTATCAGTAACTCGCGTCTGTTCCCCCTCAGTCCCCAGACAACACTTTGCTGAGATACTAACAATGCATAAAACATAAAATGCAGGGCTCAAAATGTGTATGTGTGGGGACCAGTAGTTGGCATAATGGTTATGTCCCATGTAGTCGACCACAGTTCGAGTCCTGGACCCAGTGGCTTAAACTCATGCTGGGCGCGTTGTGTGTGTGCGTGTGTGCCCACAATCCCAAGAGGAAAATGGAGAAGGGATTGTGGCGTGGCCATCCTCCCTGGGGGGTGATTTCTCGCTTTCTGTCTCTCTCTCTGTCTTTCTGGCGAGTGCATGTGCCCCACAGCAAAAACCTCTCAAAAAAAAAGTGTATGTGTGTTACTTGTCCTATTCTAACATAACTGTCTTTAAATGGACTCGGGCTTAAAACTATTTCTTATGTTAGCCACATCTTAAGTAGTAACCTAAGAAATCACAAATTAAATCTGCAAGTTATATTTCTTCTAACAAATACACTTAAATGACTACCCATGCACTAGCTAAAACGGCTCTGTACCCCAGGGATACGCACTCTCTGGCAGGCAGGCACTGTGGTGTGACACGCACCAGCCCAGTCGGGACGAAGGTGCAGTCTACATCTGTCACTGCAAAGTTAGTAAAGCTTCAACCGGCTACGGGACCGGTTATACCAAACCAGCTGTGAGGAACCCTCCCTGCTCACCCAAGAATCCACCTGTCCCTCCTGCCGAGCAGGGAGAACAAGCACACGAGCGGAGGGCTCTTGGGCAAGTAGGTACCTGGAGTCCTCATGAAAGGCAGAGATGAAGTCCGACTGGGCGTACTCCGGGTACAGGAAGAGCACAGGCCAGCTCAGTCGGCCCAGCTCGTCGAGACTCAGCCGGGCTCCATAGGGGTTCTCAGAGCTGAGTCCATCCAGGGAAAGCTCACCAAGGCCTCCTGCGACTGACTCTTCATCCTCACTGGCAGCTTCAGAGACCAGCCTGATGTGCCGAGCCTGGGTTAAAGACAGAGATACACAGACCTTAGTGTACGGGAGGAAGCACACCCACCTCACTGAAGTAAGGAAGCCACAGCCAGTAACAGATGTCCTTGGGGGCTGCTCTGTACGATTCATAGTGCCTGCCATGTGCCGTTTCATTACTCCACCAAAAAATATATGTGTGTGTGTGTGCGTGCGTGCTACACACATGCACACATACACACACACACAAACACACACACTTTTTTTTGGCCATAGGGCACATGTGCTTGCCAGAGACAGAGAGAGACAGAGAAAGTGAGAAATCATCACCCGCCCCCGGGAGGATGACCATACCATAATCCCTTTTCCTCCAGTCTCCTCTCAAGATCTTGGGCATGCACATACATGCGCCCAGTGTGATTTTCAAGCCAACCAGTCCAAGACTCAAACTGTGCAGGGGGCACCTTTTAAGCTTTGTGGGTAAAGGTCTCTATAGACCACTCAGCTCTGCCACTGCCGTATGAGCACAGCCACAAACAGGCAGAGCTGTGTCCAGTGGCTGCAGTTTGCTGAGTCCTGCCTTAAACCATCAGTAAAATAGAGCGTGCGCGGCTTTGCGTACTGTTAGGTAACTGTTATGTACACCACGACCTGAGGCACAGGGTTAGACTGAAGGAGAGAACAGCAAACACAGGTCTGTATGCAAAACCTCTGGACACCCCAGTACTCTACACATCAGAAAACGACGAAAGCCCTCAGTCTGGATGAGGAGTAACTGGAAAACCTGGGTACCCTTTTCTGTTTAACCTGTTAACATGTGTTACCAGACTGCCTGCTGTGGGGAGGAACCAGAAGAATGCATTTCAGTAGTGCAAGGCCCAAAGTCAAGTAACTCAAATGGGTGCATAATTTAGCTGTGCAAAGAGGAAAACCGAAATCCCACCCCACGAGCTCCTCACAGGTAGCTCTCCCTGGAGAAGACCAAGCGAGCTTAAACGGGTGACTTGTTGGGGATGAAGATTAAAGCAAAATCTGAGTCAGACTACATGCACTTTAAAACACGGGAAGGGGCAGAGGTAGCATAATTAGGTGGTGGTTGGAGGAGCAACATCCTAAAAACTCAAACGTTCTGGGAACCAGCAGTTAGCGTAATGGCTATGTCGCTGGACTCCCACGTAGTCGACCGTGGCTCATGTCCCGGACCCGGTGGCTTAAACTCACGCTGGGTGCGTGTGCGTGCATGCCCAAGATCCCGAGAGGAGAATGGAGGAGAAGGGATTACAGCGTGACCATCCCCCCTGGGGGGTGATTTCTCACTTTCTATCTCTATGTCTCTCTCTGGCGAGCGCACGCACCCTATAGCGAAAATCTCTCCAAAAAAAAAAACCTCAAACGTTCTTCAGACATAGTGAAGCACCATGGTTGGGAGCAAGAACCAGTCTCTGGCATGCGGGAGCTGCGTAGTTCCTTCAGCTGAGACCACCTCGTCATCTGGCAAAACAGGAGCAGGAAGAGTAGCCTCTGCACAACCCACGGCTAGACTAGCAGAGGCTATGCCTTTTGAACAATTATGATACATGAGGAAAAAGTGCCACCAGTCTACTCGGTCTACAGAAATATAATTTAGATTTCTTTCTCCTGCTAATCTCCTGAAAATCAGTCAATCCTGCTCTTACCCCCAGGACTGTGGCCTAATGGGGGCTAGTAAACACTACTGTGAAGATTCCATGAGGTAATGCTTACCCCAGCGCAGGCAAGAGTGTGCAATGTGCACTGCTGAGAGTGACACATGCGCACAGTGGGGCTGCTGACTGAACGCAGCAGGCTGACTCCAGCGCTGGGGCTCCCCGGCTGCTCTGCTCCACTGAAGCAGAATAAACAGGGGCCACATCCCAAGAAAGGTTCTCAGCAGGCTTCCCAGGATTGGTAGAGTCGGCAGAACCATCAGGACCTATGGTTTGGGAACTTACCTTGACGGCCTGGAGTAAAGCCTCATTCTGAGTCTGCTCTTTCTTTTCCTTCACCTTGGCTTTCCTCATATCCCTCTGCTCAGTTCGCTGAAAATGGAATTCAGATGCATCAGCTCCAGAGACCCTGCTCCCTCTTCTATGACCCCAGCTGCCTGCATTAGCCTCTCTAGTTTCTACCCAACCATGCTCCTGTGCGGGTTGGTGGCCAGATTCAGCTCAACATTTACGAAGCCCATGGCTAGGTGTTGGCCTGGTGGCAACAGAGACTTTTTTAAAGTAAGTAATTCAGCTGTTTGCTTCTTCCGAGTGAGAGAGCACAGAAGCAAGCACGTTCTCAACAGGGTTGTGATCCTGTGATCCACCTCCAGCCTCAGCCAGACCCAGATCATGGCCACAAGCGTGCCTGGCATATGCGGGAAGGCTCCAAATACAGAGCAGGCGTCGGGTCGCAGAGCATCACAGTTAACCACCGTCTGGCCCCCCGAGAAATCTAAAATCTAGTTCTTTAGTAGCCAGGGAGCTCACGGTCTGCAGAGGGGCACAGACAAGTGGAGAGCCAGGAGTGATACGTGTTGCTCTGCTAGTGAACCAAAGGCCATGAGACACAGAAGCAGGAGAGACTCATTCTGCCCCACTGAGAAGGCGGGCGTGGTGACAAGGGAGATGCCACCAGATGAAGGAGAAAGGGCATTCTCTGCAGAGGGACTGACGCCAAGGATGAGAAATACCGGTGGGAAATTTCAACAACTCTAGTGTGGCTGCAGTGGACGAGAGCAGACTGGAACACCCAGGCCGAGATTATCAGAGGCTCTGCCTTTTGAACAACTACAGTACATGAGAGAAAAGTACTGTCAGCCTACTCAGTCTGCAGAAATAGAATTTAGATTTCTTGTTTCTGTTAATCACTCAAAAACCAATCGACCCTGCTCTTACCCCCAGGAGTGTGGACTACTGAGGGTTACTAAACACTTTCTGTAAAGGACTGAACAATAAATATCCCAGACCATGAATGGTCTCTGCTGCATATTATCGGGTTGTTAGTGTACAACCCTTTTAAAAATGAAAACACTCTTCACTCAGAAAACACACCAAGACGGGCAGTGAGCAGGATTTGGCCTGTGGGTCAGTGTGCTGACTCCTGCTCTAAAATATAGCACCAACCACTCCTTATACACCCCACAATGGCTAACACAGATCTTTTTTCTTTTCTTTTCTTTTTTTTCTTATTAAGAGTTTTTTTGCCTTAGAGAACGTGTGCTTGCAAGAGAGACAGAAACAGATACAGAGAGGGAAAATGAGGTGTTACCCCCCAGGGAGGATCACCACATCTCAATCCCTTCTCCTCTATTCTCCTCCTGGGGTCTTGGGCACACAAGCACACACACCTGGCATCATTCTCAAGCCAGCAGGTCCAGGACTTAAACTGTGGTCGGCCAAGTAGGAATCCAGCACTGTAATCACTATGACATCTGCTAGACTCCAGACCTTTTTTCTTAATTCATGAAAAAACACATGCATGCACACATGGGGGGAGGGAGGAGTCATGGGGAGAGACGACCACCTTCCACAGGGTCTGGTCACGCCACAATCCCCTTCCTCCAATCTTGAATCTTGGGCACCCACGCACGCAAAAATCTCTCTTAGAAAAAATAATCTGGGACCAGCAGTTAGCGTAATGGCTATGTCGCTGGACTCCCATGTAGTCGACCACGGTTCGAGTCTCGGACCTGGTGGCTTAAACTCATGCCAGGTGCATGTGCGTGCATGCCCAAGATCCTGAAAGGAGAATGGAGAAGGGATTTCAGTGTGGCCATGCCCCCTGGGGGGTGATTTTTCACTTTCTGTCTCTCTGTCTGTCTCTGTCTTTCTGGCAAGTGCATGCACCCTATAGGAAAACACCTCTAAAAAAAAAAATCAGCTTTGCTGAGGTTTGATGTATAGATTTTAAGAATACAGTTTGATGTTCTGACAAATGTATACGCCTGAGTGCTCAACATTCCAATAAATATAGAGAACATTTCTATCCTCAGAAACTGCCCACATGCTCCTTCGCAGTCTCTCTCATTCCATCCCTCGCAAGTTTGTCTCCGTCTACTGCCCAATGACGCTTCACTGTATGAACAGATCATAATTGCTCATCTGTCCTCCTGTAGTTGGATGCAGGTACTATTTCTGGACTGTTATAAATAGAACAGACTATAAACAACACAATTTTACATTTTTTTCAGGGGCTTTTTTTCTTTCTTAAAAAATTTATTTAGGGCTAGCTAGGTGGCATGGTGGTTATGATGCTTAAAAAATTTATTTAGGGCTAGCTAGGTGGTGTGGTAGTTATGACAGCTGGATACTACTGGCTAACTGCACAGTTCAAATCCTGTACCCAGCAGCTTGAGAAACACATCAGTGCATGTGTATGTGTGCCCAAAATTCTGGAGAATGGACAAGGGACTGTGGCATGGCCATCCCCCTCAAAGGTGATGTCTCATTTTCCCTCTCTCGCTGCCTCTCTCTGGTAAGCACATGCACCATCTAGCAAACTCATTAAAAGAAAAAAAAAAAAAAAGTCCCTTCCTTCCTTCCTTCCTGTGAGAAAGCCAGCAATCCAACAAGGTCTTGATGCTGTGATCCACCCCTAGCTTCAGCCAGCCTCACGTCATGGGCACGCACACGCCCTGCATACTCAGGAGGTCTCCAGAGCCTCCCCATGTAGGTCAGCCTCACAGAGTACTACCTTTTTCCACTGTGCCTTTAATTTGTGGCTAAGTTCAATTTATAAATTTTGCCTTCTATGGTTAATATATATGTTTTTTAATTATTTAAAACAGGTAAAAATCATATAACATAAAATTAACTATTAACCATTTTAAAGTATATAGTTTAGTGAGATTTAGTATAGTCACCATATCACCCCTACCTAACATTTTCAGTACCCCAAAGGGAAACTTAAACCAGAAACTAGGAGACCTGAAGTCCGGTTCTGGCTTTGTACTGAGCAGGTATGTGAGACCGTATTGCACAGTGGCTAAGAGCTTAGACCCTCGAGCCAGACTGCCTGACCTTGAAGTCCTGCTTCAGCACAGTTCTGTGACCTAGGTAACTTCCTGATCTCTCTGTGCTTTAGCGACCTCACTAGTTAAGAAACAGAACAGTCCCTACCTTACAGGGCAGTTGTGTGGTTTAGAGGGTTTTATATAAGTAAAATTTGTATTTTTTAGATATTTTTGCCAAAGAGTACATTTGCTTGCTGGTAAGAGACAAAGAATGAGCGAAAGTGAGAAATTGCCCCCAGGGAAGAAAACCACACCACAGTCCCTTCTCCTCCATTCTCCTCTTGAGATTCTGGGCGTTCATGCACATGCACCCAGCTGCTTTTCAATGGTCCAAGACTCAAATGGCAGGGTTAGCCACGTGAGATACAGCACCTTAACCGCCACACCACCTGTTGGCCCATACGTAAAACTTAAATAGGGCCTCAGGGAACCAGCAGTTAGCGTAATGGCTATGTCGTTGGACTCCCACGTAGTCGACCGTGGTTCGTGTCCCGGACCCGGTGGCTTAAAACTCACGCCGGGCACGTGTGCGTGCATGCCCAAGATCCCGAGAGGAGAATGGAGGAGAAGGGATTGTGGCGTGGCCATCCCCTCTGGGGGGTGATTTCTCACTTTCTGTCTCTATGTCTCTCTCTGTCTGGCGAGTGCACGCGCCCTATAGCAAAAACCTCTCAAAAAAAAAAAAAAACCTTAAATAGGGCCTCAAACATACACACAGTAAGACCTATCTAAATGCTGGATTTTATTTTAGGAAGTGATGCTATTCTATTCTGTTATTGCTGCCTCTACCATCATTTTAGCTATTATGTGCCAGAAATGGAGCATTTCTTCAGCAAGTTGTAAAGTGTCTTAATGTTGGAAGTTGCACATTACAGAAACTTAAAGATTCTGTTTAAAGTCTAGCTGTCCTTTCCCTTCTCTTTCAAGAGCTCTGCACACTGTGTAGCCTAGACTATGGCAGTCTTATGCTGTTTCTTATTTATTAAAAACAACCCAGCCACTATTTATTGAGTCCTTATTACATGATTGATAGGAAATGTGGTAAGAATTATTCATATATACATAAGTACTTCAAAAAGTTCATGATGGGGGACCAGTGGTTAGCGTAATGGCTATGTTGCTGGACTCCCACGTAGTTGGCCGCGGTTCAAGTCCCGGACCCGGTGGCTTGAACTCATGCCAGGAGTCTTTTATGGTGCAAAACCATTAAATCCATTAATAGTTTCTTCATAACTTTTTGAAGATTCATATATACATATATATACACTTTTTTTTCTTATTTAATTTTCATAAAAACCTTTGAGGTATACATCATGTTCATTCTCAGAGACAGGACTGAGTTTCAGAACTATGAGAACTTGTCCAATTCAGCAGTAGAAAAAGCTGTGTTGGAATCCAGGTTTGTGGAACTATCTCTCCACAGAGTTCCCGGGATAGGACTGGTTTAGGGTTTTGTTTCTGAAGAGGAAAAAGTTTACAATGACCAGAGAGACACAATGTAGGTAATGTTAATTAATGCTAATCAGTAAATGCCAATTGACTGCTGACTATCACCAACCTTCAGCTTGTCTGCTTTAGCCCTTATTTCCAGAAGTTTCTTCTCTTTGGCATCTATCTGCAGCCCTTCATCACACCAGTTCACAGCCTCAGCAAAGTGTTTCAGTTCCAGATGGCATAAGGCACCTGCAGAACCCAGAACCCTTAGAATCCATGGACAATGTGCATGGCAAGAGCCCAGCTCGAGCAGGACCTCCCACCCCCCTACACTCCCCGGTCAGCTACCAGCCAGCAGGATTCTGCCTCTTGTATTGCAGTCCCCAGACAAGAGAGTGTTTGTTGTATCCTAGATCAGAAAGATCCCTAAGGCCCATTCAGCCTAAAACATCTATAAACCTCTTGAGATTAAGGACTCTTAAAGTAGGGAAGGCTAAAACTTAGTGGTAAAGAGGACAAGTTCGAGGGTAGGAGGAGGGTTAAGATGCTACATTCCCACATGGTTGCCCACAGTTCAAGTCCCAGACATGTTGGCTTGAGAATCACATTGGACATGTGTGCATGCATACCCAAAATCCCAAAAGGAGAATGGAGAAGAAGGGATTATAAGATGGCCATACTCCATAGGTGGTGATTTCTCATTTTCTTTCTCTCTCTGTTTCTGGCAAGCACATGTACCCTACAGCAAAATTCTTAAAAAAAAAAAAAAAAAGAGGAGGTGGAGGGACAAGCTTTCAACCAAACTGATCTGGGCTAGAAATCTGGCTCTGTCATTTACCAGCTAGACCTTAGATAAAGGATGTGTATCTCCAAGTTTCAGGTTCTTCATTTGCAAAAGGGAAGAAAAAAACCCATCTCAGATGATCTTTTTTTTTTTTTTGGAGAGATTTTCACTGTAGGGCGCGTGCGCTCGCCAGACAGACAGAGAGAGACATAGAGACAGAAAGCGAGAAATCACCCCCCAGGGGGGATGGTCACACCGCAATCCCTTCTCCTCCATTCTCCTCTCGGGATCTTGGGCACGCACGCACACGTGCCCGGCGTGAGTTTTAAGCCACCGGGTCCGGGACACGAACCGCGGTCGACTACGCGGGAATCCAGCGACATAGCCATTACGCTAACTGCTGGTTCCCTCAGATGATCTTTTAAATAGAAACACAAAGCAGAATTTGCCTCTGTCATTCATCAACATAGTGGCAAAAACCAAAGACTTTAAATGTCTCCTAATTTTGTTCTTTATGGCTACCAGTTTAAGCTGCCTCTCTCCTTTTCTATTTAAAAAAATAATATGGGACTAGCAGATGGTGTAATGGTTGTCACTGGACTTCCACGTAGTTGACTGCGGTTCAAGTCCCGGACCTGGCAGCTCAAAATTCACGTCAGGTGCATGTGTGTGCATGCTCAAAATCCCAAGAGGACAATGGAGAAGGGATTGAGGCATGGCCATCCCCCCCGGGGGGGTGATTTCTCACTTCCTGTCTCTCTGTCTCTCCAGTGAGCACACGTGCCTTATAGCAAAAGTCTCTCTTAAAAATAAATAAATTTTAAAAAATAATTTAATCGTGTTCATTTTTTTCCAGTTAGTCTATAGTCTATAGGTTTTCCGTAGATTTTCAAAATTATCAGAACTGTAATGACTTAGATGCCAACAGAACCTAACCCTACCTTTTCAGAGATGACTGAATTGATATTGAGAGTGGGGTGTTTTGCCAAGGTCATGCTGTAGGGCAAAACTGACAAATAAATCAAGGATTATAGGTTAATTCCACAGGAATGCAATCAATTTATTTGCCAATCTTTGTTCAGTACATTCCTTCCCTATAGCTGAGGGACATGGATATACTTACCACCCCCTGACCATGAAGTCCTAAAGAGGCATACCTTCGACAATGTATTTTAAGCTGGCCCATGGGGATGCAAGGAAGATTAATATGTGAGGGCTAAATTAAAGTTTGCAAAGCATCTATGGGCTTCTCAAAGAAAAGGTGACGTATAAAAGTAATAAAATTATTATTATTACATAGAAAGGTCAGACTACAAGAGAAAAAATTATCTGGGAATATCCTAGCATCTGAGTTAACAGCAAAGGTTCCATAACTTATTTTTTAATTAACATTAACACGGCATTTGAAGAACTTCCCTTTCAATCAACTAATTCAAAAAAAAAAAAAAATAGAAAAGAACTGTGGCTTTGGAAACTCCTTTATTTTAATTAATTTCATCCTTTACTAATTTAAAATCAGAAAATTAAAATAAATTTCTCTACAAATTCTTATTTTATAAAGGGTTAGACTCTTCTCTGAGGAATTCTTCAAAAGTGACATGTGATTGTGGAACACCAGGACTGCGAAAATAAGGTGACTTCATTAGCATCTTGGCACTTTTATATCAATGCTTTAAATGTCATACTCTGGTAGGTGAGAGCCAGTTTCTCCACAATGCCGGTCACACTGTGTCCTACAAGACTTACCTCGTACTACTGCTTTGAGGTGGCGAGGCTTCAGCTTTCTGGCAGCCATCACATCATTTAGGGCAGAACGAAAATTGCCTAAGAAAAATGCCATTTGGCAAAAGAGAGAACAAGTTTTGAGATCCAAATATTTCCAAATTTTTGTGTGCAGTGACAAAGACACACTTGTATAATCTTAGAGAAATGTAAATTGGAGGGAACTATTTCTAGAAAAAAATACAGTTGTGCTCATCAATAGCCCTAGAAATGTCTCTAGTATGCACAAAAGAACTGGAAATAGCTAGTAAGCACATGAAAAGATGTTCAATATCACTATGACGAGGAGATGAATATGACATTGGTAAAAGTCAAAGATAATATAAGGTGAAGATACGGAAGAAGGGCATTCCCAAGGAATTAGAGAATAAATGAGTGTACTCTGTGCATACACTTCGACCTAACAACTTTCTTCTAAGAAATTTCTTTAAATACTTGTACAAATGTTCAAGAATGTAAAAGCATGCTAACTTCAACATTACTTTTAGTTGTGAAAGAGTGAAGAAAAGGCAAATGTCCTCAAATTGGTAATGATGAGATAAATTAGAGTAAATCCATACTACTGAATACCATGCAGCCATTAAAAAGAACGAGCAAGTTGCATGTGAGAGCCACGGCAGGGTATCTGTGCTACGCTGTCTTAGAAGGTGAGCTATGTGCATAGTAGCCTATTTCTCTAAAACAAATAAACCAAACTAGGCACACAGACATACACACACACGTATATATTTGTAAGCATATTAAAGGCATATAACCACACACACAAGTTATCCAAACGAGGAAAGCCTGAGATAGACTTTCACTTTCAAGTTTATACTATAAATATTCCTGAATGATTTAAGACTAACCTATTCAGGGGGACCAGCAGTTAGCGTAAAGGCTATGTCGCTGGACTCCTATGTAGTCGACCGCGGTTCGCATCCCGGACCCGGTGGCTTAAAACTCACGCTGGGCACATGTGCGTGCATGTCCAAGATCCCGAGAGGAGAATGGAGGAGAAGGGGTTGCAGCATGGCCATCCCCTCTGGGGGGCGATTTCTCGCTTTCTATCTCTGTCTCTCTGTCTGGCAAGCACATGCGCCCTATAGCAAAAAAACAAACAAATAAAAAAAAAACCTCTCCCAAACAAACAAAACAAAAAGACTAATCTATTCATTTTACTTCTGAAACTCTAGCCGAGGAGTTAGCAAAATTTTTTAGATAACACATAGTTTAGGCTTTACAGACCACCTATAATCTGCTTGAAACCCTTTAAAAATGCAAGCAAACAGCTTTTATGTTTCTTAATTTGTTGACTAGAGATGCTAACTTCATCTGTTTTATATTGTTGCTTACAAAGTCAAATGGGACAACGCACAGGAAAGGGCTTTACACAGTAAAACACTGACGGATCATTTAAGGAGTGGCCCTATTATGTCTGCTCCTCCACTGTCACACACACTTTTTTTTTCCTTGCAAAGTGCTTTTATATACCATTTTCTTTAAGTCCTCCAAAAACAGGAACTATGTTCTTGTTCACAGTGTAACATCTAGCACGTGGTGAATGCTTAGTATACATTTACTGACTGAATAAGTGAAAGGGTGAAACTCTGTTAGGGAAAGCAGTCCTCACTCATTTCTATGATGCCAGAATCTGGCACAGGACACGAACCCAACTAGTCTCCTGCATGAAGAAAATGTATTCCTCCAGGATGCAGAGGACCAGTTTCTGACTAATCAAAAAGTCTCTCTCTGGGCTTGTATAAACACAGGGGTTACCTGGCTCAAGTAATCTGTAAGGTTCTATATCCCTCTGACTTTTTAAAATCTTATAATGAAATAGGATAAGGGAGAAAACACTTCAACTGGGAGAAGCTCCACTCACATGCTGATAAGTCCCTGTTTTTCACCAACCCCTTAGAATGCTGAAGTCACTCCCAGTTCCTCTCCTAACTCTGTGGTAAGAAACACAGGTGGAGGGACCAGCAGTTAGTGTAATGGCTATGTCGCTGGACTCCCATGTAGTTGACCATGGTTCGAGTCCTGGACCCGGTGGCTTAAACTCATGCTGGGTGCATGTGCATGCGTGCCCAAGATCCCGAGAGGAGAATGGAGAAGGGATTGTGGCATGGCCATCCCCCCTGGGGGGTGATTTCTCACTTTCTATCTCTCTTTTTCTTTTTCTTGAGAGGTTTTTGCTATAAGGTACATGCGCTTGCCAGAAAGACAGAGAGACAGAGACAGAAAGTGAGAAATCGCTCCCCAGGGGGATGGCCACACCACAATCCCTTCTCCTCCATGCTCCTCTCGGGATCTTGGGCATGCACGCACAAATGCCCAGCGTGAGTTTAAGTCACCGGGCCCGGGATTCAAACCAGTTGTCTACATAGGAGTCTAGTGACATAGCCATTACACCATCTGCTGGTTCTAGAAAAAACTTTTTGAAAAGAGAAGCATTTGGCCTCGAGAATCTCAGATCATACTGACTCATATATTAAATACCTTCCCAGAGTGACTATGTCACTGTTTTGGTTCAGACAGGAAGAGTTATACAATCCAATTCCCTTTCACCATGTGTCTTCCTGAATTATCAGAGTTCAACTAAACTATCCTGGGCCCAAGTTGCTCAGGCAAACAGCCCCTCTTCCTCTGACACTCTCAAACCCAACACTGGCCATCCCATGGCTTGAATCATAAACCAATTCTTCAGAAAGCATGCAATAATGATTGAATTACCCAAATAGTACTGTGCTGCTGCCCGGTTGGTATAAAGGACAGCATTCAAATCAGGATCTGTACATTTCTTCTTTAATCCTTCTGTGTATGAAGTCACAGCCTTCTTATAGTCTTTTTCTTTAAAGTAATCATTGCCTTCATCTTTATAGGTCTTAGCCTGTTCTGCAAAGAAAGAAGAGGAAAAATAATCAAGATCTTCTGGTTTTTATTTTTGGAAAGGTTTTTTTTTTTTTTTTGCTATAGGGCACGTGCACTCACCAGACAGACAGAGAGAGACATAGAGACAGAAAGTGAGAAATCACCCCCCAGGAGGGATGGTCACACTGCAATCCCTTCTCCTCCATTCTCCTCTCGGGATCTTGGGCACGCACGCACACGCGCCCGGCATGAGTTTTAAGCCACCGGGTCCGGGACACGAACCGTGGTCGACTACGTGGGAGTCCAGCGACATAGCCATTACGCTAACTGCTGGTTCCCAAGATCTTTTAGTTTTAAAAAGGCTCATTATAAACAGATTCGAGGGTCAGCCCCACAGCACAGCACATTAAGCCTTGTGCATGGAGAGTTGGATTCCACGTGGCAGACCATGGTTTGCATCCTGACCCCAGTGGTTTGCACACAGGCCCCAAATCCTAATAGGATGGGGACAGTCACTGACAGTGGTTAAGGTGGCTGGATACCATATAGCCAACTAAGCAATTCAAGTCTTGGACCTGGGAGCTTGAAAACATACATGTCAAAATCCCTAGAGGAGAGGGGAGGACAAAGGCTTGCAGCATGGCCATCCCCCTAGGGAGTGC